AAAAGAGGAGAAGAGGAAGGGAAAAGTTTAGGAGAGAGGAAAAAGGAAGAGGAAAAAGGAAGAGGAAGGAGAGGAAGAGGTTCAGGAAGAAAAGGGGGGGGAGGAAGAGAGGAGGAAGGAGAGGAGGAGGAAGGGAGAAGTTTAGGAGGAAAAGTGAGGAGGAAGGAGAGGAAAGAGAGGTGGAAAAGAAGGGAAGGAGGAAGAGGAAGTTTAGGAGGAAAGGGAAGGAAGGAGGGGAGGAAAGGAGATGAAGTAGAGGAAAGAGAGGAGGAAAAGGAGAGAGGAAGAGGAAGCAGGAAAAGATGAAGAATAGGAAGAGGAAGGAAAGAAAACAAGGAAGGAAAAAGAAGAGATTCAGGAGGAAGAAAAGGAGAAGAGCAGAAGAAAAGAGAGGAGGAAAAGAAGGGATGAAGGGCAGGAAGGAAGGAAGGAAGAGAGGAAGTTTAGGAAGAGCAGGAGAAGGAAGAGAAAATGGAGAAAGAAGAGGCAGGAGATGAGAAATGAGGAAAGGAAGGAAGGTAAAGCAGAGGAAAAAGAGGAGAAAAAGGAGAGAGGAAGAGGAAGATGAAGAAGAGGAAGGAAAGGAAAAAAGGAAAGAAGAGGAAAATGTTCAGGAAGAAAAAGAGGAAAAAAGATGACAAAGGAGAGGAAGGAGAGTGGGACAAGGAGGGAGGAAGAGGAGGATGAAGAAGAGGAAGGAGAGCAAGAAAAGGAAGAAAGAGGAGGAAATTCAGGAGGAAAGAGAGGAGGAAAGATGATGAAGGAGAGGGAAGAGAGGAGAACAAGGAGGGAGGAAGAGGAGGAAGTTCAGGAGGAAGGAGGGTAAGAAAGACGACCAAGCAAGGCAAGGAGAGCGGACCAAGGAGAGAGGAAGAGGAGGATGAAGAAGAGGAAGGAAAAGAAGAAAATGGAAGGAAGAGGAGGAAGTTCAGCAGGAAGGAGGGGAGAAAAGACGACCAAGCAAGGCAAGGAGAGCGGGATAAGGAGAGAGGAAGAGGAGGCGGGACGGGAGGAAGGAGAGGAAGAAAAGGAAGGAAGAGGAGGAAGTTCAGGAGGAAGGATGAGAGGAAAGATGACGAAGGAGAGGAAGGAGAGAAGGATGAGAGGAAAAAGAGGATGAAGAAGAGGAAAGAAAAGAAGAAAAGGGAAGGAAAAGGAGGA